GATCTCTGTCCACGATATTTTCTCAATAACGCAACATTCGCTACTTACTCCCAGTTGCATCCAATTGTTCATGTTGCGTTTAATGAAACTTAATTCGCTGTCTTCCCCAGCTCGCCGTGACACCCATAATGTTCCAAGTCAAAGCAAGTGTGTATATATAATCAGTCTCTTAAAATAACGATCTCGTTAATTAGCCTCACATTTGTTTACACTCAATTATTGTTACATTTAATATAGACGTGTTACATTTACAATGCGTGTTTATATCATGTGCACTTAAAATAACTTCAGGATGTAAACCAAAAAATAATACTCAGCACATTCGTCAACGACAGTGCATATGTGGCCTTACAAAAACACGTATATAATAGGCGACGTTTCGGTCTTTGGTCCTTCTTCACAGCACTGAGAGAGAGGCCACTCAACCTCTGAATTGTCTATGGTGCTCTGAAGAAGGGACATTGCCCAAAACGTCGCTTGTTATATACATTAATTCTTAATGCCACGCAGCGTTAGTGACACGAAATTATTCTGGTGGGGGTTGTTGTTATTGTCAACTGTGCTGAACGCCACGGTGGGGAGATGTTAATTACTTCGCCCGCTACACAGGAGGTCGTGGGTTCGATCCCGATCCTGACGTCTGCTGCTGTATATTTGGAGGTTGCACGCTCTCGCCGTGGTCGTATGGATTTTTCTCCGTCTCCTCTAGTTTAGGATGAAGCCAATTCGTTGGGCTATCACTTGTGGCCAGGTCGCTTCTGAAAAAACTATATATATATAGCTCAGTGGGCCTTACCTGGCGAAAAAAATATGTAGTTTATAGTTTAGTTTGAGCATCACTGCCAACGCAGCAGCAGCAGTAGCAATGTCACCAAACGGAATGTGTTTAATTCTTGATGTAAACCCCAGGCAAACGTTTGATGTGTTTCTCAACGGGTTGATCTGAATCTCCTGGTTGAATGAACGGGACGCGATAGTTTCCATAATCTACACAAAGCGAGCCCTGGAAGGCGTTGACGTGTCTCACGCAGTCATCCCCTGCGAACACACCCCATGCAGTCCATTATTGAGGCCCCCATTTCATATTTCTATCCACGTTCGACACGAATGAATAATTGTAATTATAGAATTAATAACTCATTGCATAGTCTCCAAGCTGAAAAGTTTCCGGTGTTCTCGCCTCTGTGTTGCGATTTAGTTGTGGTTTTGTTTTGCTATTAAGATGTAAGACTTTAAATCAAACGAATATATATTATAAAAACAAAACCCAACACGTTGGACAATAGCACTAATGTGAATAAAATAGATCACGGCTGTTGCGTCTGATGGTGGACCCCTTGTTCATAGCAACGAACTTAAGAAGGGCCGTTGCCCGAAACGTTATCTACGTGGCGAATGTGGTTGCTAACCCAACGGCAGCAGCCGCACCACTTTTGTTCTTTAAACCAAAATCTATCTGTACAGTGTATTGATTTAGTTCTGAATGAGACATTCATTTGCATTAATTATATGTTTGATGTTACATAATAAATAAAACAGCTACATTATATTTATTCATTGAGTCTCGAACCAAACTGCGGCGAGGCAAAAAAAAAGATTACAAATACAGCAGTGGATTGTAGCAATTATACATTGATATCTAAACTCATATACGTTATATATGTGTGGATACGTGTTGCTGTTAAACTTGACTATATTGCGTGTTAATATTGCTTCACGTACGCATATTTATATATATATGTGTGTGTAGTTTAACGAACTTGACTGCTGATGAGAATCGAATGTCGAAATCGGTTCAGAGTCTGACTGCTTAAACGAAAGAATGCTGCTTGATCACGTTGGTCTGGAAAGCCAATAGGGTTGACGGACTAACATTCATATTAACATGTATATTTACAGACACGGAGTAGAATTATTGCTTTTAAATAAAATAAAAAATTGCTGCACGGCACTGCATAATGAATGTGTAAATACATTACTGGACGTTGACCTATGTCGCCTGTACTGTGCTGTGAATAAGGGTCATTGCCCGAAACGTTGCCGATTAAATAAATATATATTTTTTTTATTTTAAAGGAGTATTGTTGACGAGTGTGTTGAGGTTTTATTTTTTTCACGTTACATATGGTAAGACATCATATTAACTTTGTCGAGCCTATGTCCGAACAAATGTAACTCATTGTGTGCCTGGCTTAAAGAGCTGCGATTATGGATTTGCGCTCCCCGAATTCCAGCTACGGTGGTGAATCGAGACATCAAATGGAGGCGTGCACTTTGAACTTCTTTCGCACCGTACGTATCCAACCCTGCTAATCTGAGGTGTGGGATGCTTTAAATGTGAGAGGTTATTTTAGTTTTTGTTGCATCGTCGGAGCGTGAACCAAACATGCTGAATCGGCATTTTAATGGGAAATATCACTTCCATGCCAGGAACGAGTGTGTGTTACTTCTATGCACGGACCGCGTATGCACACGTGTGCACACGTGTTTTGTGGCGGCCATGCAAGCCAAACTGTGGGCCGTCTCGTAAACTCGTAGAGACTCACAGAGATACGTATACACTCACATAGATACATAGAGACTCACAGAGATACATTAAAACACAAGCTACAGCAGTGCGATTTTGGCCATGCAACCCAAACTATGAACGGTGTCGTAAACCCACTGCGGTCTACGCTCCTTCAACAGCGGAGGAGGAAGAGCAACACGACACGAACTCTCTCTCTCTCTCTCCTGAGTCCCCTTCGCCGTGGCCAGTAGCAGACCTCGACATTGGCACTTTGCACGTGAAACTGTTGCCTGCCATACGCAATAATATAATAGAACATGTCTATTCAGGCGAAGGTCCGTGGTCCTTTATATAAACAGACATGTGGGCTTTGTATATATATGTATGTGTTCGTGGTGTATTAACATGCATATGAGCAGTGCATCGTAAATTCGAAAAATGGACACCGCAAATTACTCAATTGGGATACGCATCTCAATGATCGCTCCTCCTCCTCCTGATTTCCTGACTAATGTCAGCTTGATTGCGGGCCACGTGCTGAGTCACCGTGTGCCACACAGGGACAGCTGCCACTGGGTGGGGGGGGGGCTTTCAGATGAGTTGGAAATAAGACGCGATGGAGGCACGCGGAGCTATTGTACAGGGGACGTTAAAGACCCGCGTGTGTCGCCATCGCAGGCATCGTGAGAAGGCAGGCTGCTTGGGCTGCGATGTGAGACGACCCGCCGTGGTATAATCGGTGAGCGATTGCATGAACAGCAAATCATCGTAAATCGTATCGTTGCAATGGCACATCTATCAACCGCGTGGGTAGACCGATCACCGCGTTATCTATCAATATAAAGCGAACTTAACATTCGTGTATTGTGGTTAACAGTGTACATTACCAGCACGCAGGGTTCGGTGTCTCTCCGTGAATAGAACATGTTATCAAGCCCTTTGTTTTATTTAAACAAAGGCTGCTGAGATAACTTGGTCCGGAAGTGCAATAAATATGCCCATGGACTAAATATTTACATTTACTCGTAGAAACAAACAGCAGAGTTGCGCTTCCATACACGCACAGACATTTATCAAGATTTGCTGACATGTTTTTTGTATTTGTTTTTATAACGATAAACTATAATAATCATTACTTATTAATCCAGGAAAGTTGTACGACTATTTTTCGGTAGGGTCTTGCTGCTGCAGTGGCTTTATAATTAAGATGTGTTTCAGTAGATTAATGACGAGCGTTTAACTTTTTGCACAATTCATAACTGCGATGTAAAGTGATATGCACGCGCCGTTTATACTGTACGATACAATTATAATGATAGGTCGTTAACTATGACACGGGCATTCCCAGCACACACGATAGGCCAGTAATGAACCTTCATGTATTCTCAGTGCGCTACAGACTGTGTATATACGTACACTGTTTGCATTTTTATTCATCAGGCAGAGAGCCTTTGGAGGAGCCATGCAACGCCGGCTTTTATTTCCACAAATAGGGTTCCGTAGCCATGGGGCGCACGAAACACAAGGTCAGATAATTGTGATTGTTTTTTTTGCAAGTCCATTGTCGATCCACTGCTGGATGAAAGCATCGTCGGTTACGTCGGTTGTTGGAGTATTACTTCACCAAATTTGGGTGGTGGCGAGTTGGTGAGCGGAGAGATGCCCACAAGCGGTGCAGATAGCACTCGCCACTGATGTTTACCCGTGGGCGAAAATCGAACTCGGGATGCCGGTTTCACATATAGCGCTGTGCGCTAACCACTGCACCACCACCGGTCCCAATGCCATTCTTATTTTAGTCGAGCGATACATTTAGAGTGAGATCGTAATGCTCTTTCATCGGTACGCAGTGGCCTAACATCAGCCGATTAGGACACGGGGTCTTTAACGTTTCGTTTTACTGTCGGCTGCGAGCTTTAACTCGTAGAAACGTCCAAGAGAATTAACGCGCAACCGGCCGCACAGAACCGGCTAGATGAGAGGGGGGGGGGTTGTTTGACCATACTTCACTACACTGGTAAGTGCAGTATAATACAGTGCAGTACAATGTGAAATCCTAAATATCACGTCTTATTGCAGTCCTAAGAAATACATTTTAAAAGGGTGCATCGAGACTGAGAAGTGAGAATTTCCGTGGTAAATGAAGGGTATAGTAGCTGTCACCACATTGCCGTGGTATTATTCGTTTTATAATCCTCATCGGAGGAGGAGCCGTGGCGCACTGGTGAGCGAACTGCGTTCGATCCCGAATCAGTTTAGAACATCACGCGCAAGCGACGATATCCGTGCGCTCGCTTCTCCAACTGCTGGCACTGACCGAGAGTGGCGAAGTATGGTCAAACAACCCCCCATGACCGAAAGGTGCGGTGTGGGGGAGGGGGGGTGGGGGTTCTTCATCCAGCAGTGGATTGAGAATGTGCTGCACATGATCATCTTCACACACACAGACCAAAACAACCCTCGCGGCACGCAACGCCACACCGAGACTCACCTTGGAACCTCAGGCATCCGTCGGCGGGCCGCGAGTGGATGTCTCCGGATAAAATTCGCTCAATCCCGAACTTGAGTTCCTTGCTACATGCGGGGGCCTGCCAGGGACCACCCGGGGCAGCTCCCGCGGCTGCCGGAGCCAGCACAGCTGAGGGTCTCGGCAGGCGAGCCGGCAATGGAACGACCCCGACACCACCACCGTCACCACCACCGCTAGCACCACCGCCACCACCGCCGCACCCGTGCTTCGCTGCCCGTGCACAGTCGGCGCCCTCCGCCGGGCAGTAATTGACGCCCCACACCCCGAAGCCGTGCAGGTAATAGGGCACGAATGTGTACATCCTCGCAGGAGACAGCCCGCAGCCACGACTTGTCACTACGCGGCCGCGAATTGCTGTCGATGTTGACGGTCGACGCTGGCGGGCTGGCGGGCAGGGCGGGCGGGCTTGGTCTGCTGGCTTCGCCTGCGTCACACGCCGCTCTCGGTGTGTGGGGACTCTGCTCTGCCACCAACTTGCTCCGGACCTCAACGCGAGGTGGGAGGAGTGAGCCAGCCTACAGCGGTCTCCCGCATATCGGCTGTTGCTGCTGCTGCTGCTGCTGTTTGTGACAGTCGTAAACGACGCTTTCGCGCATTCTGCGAGCGAGCGAGTGAGTCTCGATTGACGTTTTGTGGGTGTTGTTGCTGTTGTTATTTTTTATAGCGGAGTTGTGAGAAGAGAACTGCCCCACCTCCCTCCCCCTCGCTTACCCGGCCGGTAATGCTGCGGCAATGCGACGGAGCGTTGTTCAAGTCGGTGGCTATAACTGTGGTGATGCGTGGCTGGTCCGCATGCAAACCGGGAGTGTTTTGGTGGTTGGTGGTGGGGGGCGGAGTGGGTGGAAGGGAGAGGGTGCGAGTGGGGGTGAACCTCCCACCCCCATCATCATCATCATCCTCCTCCGTGTGGCCGCTATTGGCTGCAGCGGAGAGGCACGCGTGTCCAATGGCCACGACCACCACTCTCTTCAAGCCCGTCGGCTCGTCACCGGCGTTGGCACCGGCCAGGGGTTGCTCTCGCAGCAGCCGGCGGGCATCGCAGGGCCATTGCCCGAAACGTCGCCGATTATATATACATATGCACAGTGCGTGTGTTAAAGCCACAGTGTTGTTTGGCGAGTGCGTTGAGTGTGTTGCTCGTTGTGTTTGTGCGGTAACGCAGCGGCATCAGCAATTAAATTGTTTAAAATTGGCGAAATGGCTTTGTCGATAGAGGGAGCTCTGGATAGCCTCCCTGGAGGGTCATGTTGGGTCTACTCTTCCACGCTGGGGCGGGAGTTAGCCCACACTTTTCTCCACCCCGCGCGACCTGCCGATAGACTAACTGTGGTGTAACCCATTTATATATTTGTAATACAGTATACGAGTACTGTGTATATGTATGTGTGTGTGTTTGTTTGTGCCACGTAATGATGAACAAAGACGGCCACTGCATCGCGCGCTTTCAGATGCGATTCTGCGGCAGACGTGGAACGCTCTTCCTTCCGATATTCGGAATGCCACTGGAGGTATGCGCTTTAAAATCGAGATTGAAAACTGATGTCTTGAGAATTGCTTTTTTGTGTTTAGTTTGTTCGTACACTGCACGCACCTCCGATGTGCACGGTTGGCTAACTTACGGTGCGAAAAAAAGTTCAACGCGCAGTACATGCATACAGACACACCTGATCTATAGCCCGTGTTTCGTGTAATTTCGATATAAATGATCAATTGCTTTGGATATTGGAAGGTAAATGTCGATCACGAATTACAAATGTCCTGAAGGTACGTATTTCAATTACTTCCACCTCTGGTTTAGAGCTCTCTCATTTAAGTGGCTATGGAAATGTATCAGACGATATACTATTTATACCAGAGCTGCGCTGTTTTTGTATGAATATGATGTCTTTGAATAACCATAACCTCTTCAGATTCGTTATTTAATTTTTAACTGGAGATCTGATCAGCTGTATACTGTACATGTTTCCCTGGCTTCATGCGGGTTCGGTTTGTGCGATTTCGCGTATGTGCGGCGTACCAAATTCTACCCAAAATTCGCTATATGCGGTTTAAATCAACTCACTTGCGGCTACGCGGCCGACCTCGGACTAGATTGTACTTTGCGAGCTGTCTCGCGCTCGTCGGCAGGCAGCTGTTTCGTGCGGTTTCGCTTTGTGGGCACTTTTCTTGGAACGCATCTACCGCATAAAATCAAAGGAAACGTGTATATATGAAAAAAGAAAACGTCTGGCAACTCATGAGATTTTTCTTCAACAGACCTCGCTCTGCTGATGAGACACCCAAGAAACAGTAGTCGAGGAAGCCAATGTTTTACACCGATGGCTAAAAACACACGAGTCATTAGCAAGCATGTGCAGATAGAGTTGTGTTCATACATGTTTTAAAAAATTTACTTGCTTCGAGGCGCGCACAAGGTACGAATATGTGCAAGCGTTGGAGGCGGGGGGGGGGTGGATAATGCAGGGACGGAGCCTACACGAGACGCTCACCTACAATGTCTGTGAAAGGGTAGTACAGCAAGTGGGTTGCTGGTCCTATCTTGAATTATTATTATTCTCCAGCGGGCGTCGGTTTTCTCTGGGAACTCCGGTTTCCTTCCGCGAGCAGAACCGCGGTTTCTTATAAACGCCACAACAGGAAGGACGCTCCTGAATAATGAGCGTTGAGCGTCAAGGAGCATTTCCTCAATTCTCTGCGTCAACAAAGGAGAGTACATTGGTATAATGAGCATTGTTATTTGTTAGGGCGCCTGACTCACAATCTAGAACAGCGGTCGGGAACCTATGGCTCGCGAGCCATATATGGCTCTTCTGGTGACGGCATATGGCTCCCAGACAATTTTGAGTTGAAAAAAAATACAAAAATCAGTTTGGAACTGATTTTAAAATACTTGTGATATTGCTTAATAATACTGTGTCATTTTTAAGTAAACAGAAATTAGTTTTGAAGATAAATTTCACGGGTCACGGGGCCTCAACGCCTGCATGAAGCTCAACCTCACCACGTACGAACCAGACTACAAGGCCATCAGCAAAACCACGCAGCACCAGAAGTCGCATTAAAAGTGATACATATTTAATTTATTATACGTTAAAAATACTATATGGCTCTCAATGCAATATATTTAGAAATATTTGGCTTTTATGGCTCTCCCAGTCAAAAAGGTTCCCGACCCCTGATCTAGAAGATTCTTGAGTTTCAATTCCAGTCAGGCGAAGATTGGCTGCTGCACTAAGCCTACGACTTTGTGCCACATCAACCGCGTTTGTTTTGCGCATAGGTCGATCTTTGTCATTATAACGTGGAAATGTCCACGCCTGACTCACTACCGCCGAATAAAACGACAATGGGAGCTGATTATTTAATTATTGTTGGTCGATATTTGGAACATGGCACAAGCACCATCTTGAAATTGTAATTCGGAGTCATCTACCGATGACAGATATGGACCACAAGATGGATCCTGTACGCAGGCCTTCTCGCTCGATATCTTCCCGAGCGCTTTGAAGGCTGGCTGGGGGTAGTAATTAACGGTATAAAGCCCTACCACTGAGAGTGAAGGGTACTCTCTGCACGTGCCAAGGCGTCCTGTCTCAAAGACTTCGGCGATCATGGCCTTCTTCCATTTAGCTCGGGTTCATGATATCACTCAACAACTTTACATGAAAAACTCAACCCAGTTGCATCCTAATGTTCAAACCGCGTGTGCAACTTCTGTCACTGTCTTCCCCGGCTTCTTGTGCTACCTGAACATTTTCTCCAGCCAATAACAAGATTCATATTCAGTCTCTTGTTTTTCTCCTTACACGTACAAAAGAAAACCATGTAACTTTGCCTTTCTCGAATTATTTTCATTGAGTTTTTTTTCTATCTCCTATCCTAAATGATGATAATAATTGTTTACCACTGGACCCGTTGTTGCACGCCACGGCACACACACACCGCTGCCTTATCAGGAGGACAGAATGAGTGACGTGATATGAATGCGGCTGGCGTGGTGTGAATGATTCGAAGACACAGAGTTTTCTGGACTATCCTGGCCGAGGTTAAGCAAGGAGGCGAATGACTTCACCAATAAACAGCCAGGTAGCATCGTGTTATTCATAATAAATGTGTCGTTAAACCACCACCATCCGACACAGCCAACCAATAAGGTTTGTCACGTGAACAAAACGCACCAATTCGTTACCACTTCAGCCTACCGGTGTGTTGGAGAGTAAATTGACAACATTTACAATTTGAGTACCGGGACGCTTCGCTGCTAATTACATGCGACATCATCGGGCGATTTTGCCAGAATTATTAAACCGAGCATCATGTGAGCACTGAAGTTTGGATCTTGCTGCGGCACTCCGCAGGGCTTGGCGCGGTGAGTGCCGAGGCCACGACGCTATCCCACGTTCATCGCGTTGCGCGCAAAGTTGTCAGCGACAATTAAACAAACCCCCAAAAGAAAATGTAAGCTCTTATTTTATTTGTTTTATTTTATTTATTTTTATTATTTTGATGTTTTACCTACGTGACTTTACCGAAAAAACCTAAGAATATGTAAGCTCTTGTCAGCTGAGAGGTTTGCTATGGGTTTGTTTGGTTTGTTCAATCAGAGAACGTGCAATATGCTTGCTTTGCCGGATCACCCACAGACGATGAAGATTGCAGAACGTGTCAAACAATTGTATGTAAAAATGTTCAACGTTGAAAGGCGTTGTTTTCTTCAAGGATTATATCATGTCAATGGCAAGGACTCTTAATTAGTCTGCCTACGGTGGAAATTTGCTCATGTTTTGCTGCTGCTGCTGATTTGGATGCTGTGAGCGGTGGTGTAATGGTGAGAACACAAGACTTGCAATCCACTTAGATTCAATTTTCCAGGCGAGGCCAGTTGAAACGACGGGTGCGAAGTTTATTCATTCGATGCCCACGCCTCTGTACACTCGCCGCCGCTATAATAAATGGGTACAACCGCAGGCGACCGGCAAAGTCGCGTGTGTCGGGATAAAGTGTTGGGCAATTCCCTCCTCTTCCAAGATCCCGAGCAAGCATGGAAGAGTCGGTCAACAAAACCCTCTAGAGCGCCCTCTCGCGGACGCAGCTCCCCTTTAGCAGTGGCGTGAATCAGCAGTTGGGAGGGCTGCGCCTTGATCTTTTATAAAACATAGATCACGAGTCAACTCCTAAAAATTAGTGGATAATGACGTTCACTCTCTGCATTGGAGGCAATGAAACAGTTACGGAAAATCCACGTTCCTATGGCAGGGTCTGTCTCCCGTAACTGTGATGTGCGCATGTATAATGCTGGGCGGATAGAGGCGGTCGAGTTGAAGGAACGTGTCCCTTGCTTCCAATGCGATCGAACAGGCGAACTCTGGGTTGCAAGTCCAGGTGTGTTGGATGTATGTATACCTTTTGTTCGCAACCGTACGTAGCTGACCGTGCTAATCGGCGGTGCGGGGAAAGGACAACAAACTCAACTCAATAGTGGCTCTAAAGAAATGAGTTTTCAATCTAGATCATTTAAAAGTGCATAGCTCCAGTGGCTTCCTAACGTCGAAAGAAGAGCGTTCCAGACGGCCACAGAAGCGTATGTGAAATTGCGCGACGCAGTGACCGTTTTTGTTCGATGGCGCTGCTAATCATTAGCCAGTACCACACTTACAATTTGACAGTCATAGAGATACGAACGTACGTGTCACCTAAGATACGTCCTTTTGCAAACTTAGCTCCGTATAGTCAAGAGAGACGCTCTAACAAAGATGCCCTTAATGCAACTATTCTATGAGCCGTATCCCTATTGTGTCGGCATCGCGTAACG